TATGAATGTTATTTCAACGTCCATATTCTTCGAATTATCGACCTATTGCCCATTATATAACATTGAATCATGCCTTTATTATTCCTATCAAAACTAGTACACCTGTCATCACACTACTAATTTGTACTTTTCACTTATTATGTTTAGTTACGTAATCTATTCCACTGTTGTCAGTGCCTCATAAACTACCTTGACTGATTTAATAATTTCATATATGCATATAAATATTACTGTATATTAGAGTTAATCCTGATGAGGATCTAATCGAAAACAATATTGTTCGCTTATATATGTTGTTGTAAAATAATCAGTTTATTCATTTAATAAAAGGCACCTTTGTATCATAATGTGACTTCAAATATAAAAAAATAGATTAGTTTGATATCAATAAGAATATACTGATGCTGATGGCTCCCAGTTACTGAAGAATGGATAAAAACCAAATATAACATCAGTATCTTGTCTCGATGAGAAAAGACCACTGCCAATATTGTCCTGTGTCCTATGAAATCTAAGTACAAAATCATTTGAGGAATGTTTTTTTTCTCTCTCTTCAAATTAGAATATATCAATGGATGCTATAAAGTTATTCAGAATACTGAAAATTTCTTATTAGTTTAGTATAGAAAACAGTTAATTTCAAACGTACAAACCTAAGCAGCTCAATTTTCCTCAAAAACTGTTTAGTCTACTTTCCTTTCCCCAAAACATATAATGCCTAAAATCAAGAGCTTTGAATTCATAAACTATAACTATCCAAAAATAATTATATGATACCTAGATTACAGTTAGTAAAAAAATCCGGGCGAATGTATATGATTCTTTACGGTTGACCGATTTTGGATGTTGCATGATATATAAAGTTAATTGTCGTTTCAATTTGATTTTATTATTAAAGATAGAACAAGATCTATTCATTTGTACTTCCCCTTTAGATATATTCAACTTCAAACATTTTTCATATGTATTCTGTATAATAAAGTACATTATTTCGTGATCGAACACAGTTTGGTTAAAATAAACGGGACCACATCTAGTTTAATAATGATCAGTTAAAAGAGTACAAAATATGTTGACTGAACATACAAATAACTAAGCATAAGATAAATTAATATACAAGAGTAATTAAATACTAAATTATTTCGGATATCCACAATTAAGGAAGAATGGGAAACCTATCTTTTCTGGATTACATCACGAACTAACCTAAATCAGAGATAACTACTGAAAATCAGGAAGTACTGAATAACTCTTTAGTACTGTATTTACATTTCAAATTGAACTAGTCAAAAAATTATTTTTAAAAAAAAACATGAAAACCTACTAATGGCCATTGGCCAATATAAACGGTATTATAGAATAAAAGATCTGGTGACTAATCACATCTCTAGGGCAATAGAAATGAGTTAATCTGACATAATAATAATAGAATAAGGAAGGAAGTGAGAGAGGGAGGGTGGGAGATATCTTCCAGAGAAAATTTTGACCTCAATATAAACTTAATCACAAGTCATTAACTTAATTCTCTTTCAGATTTACTAAATTAATCATGAAGTAAACTGTGTACTGTTTGAAAAAGAATCCAAATATATTTTCAGTCTAACCCATACAAAAAGTAGTGATCTACTGACGAATTATAAACCAGTAAATGATTTCCTTTCACTATTTCCAACAGAGAAAAATAATTATAAGCTGAGCGATTTCTTGTTATTTGAGAACCACGTGCATCCAATCGACAAATATCAAGTAGAACATAACGCCTGTCTTGAACTGGACTTTTAAATACAATCCATTTATTTTAACAATCTTATGATTAACAATTTAACTGTTAATCAGTTCAGTGTTATTTACATGTGTCCTACAATTGAATTTGAATAAATGTTGCAATATCTATCATATAGGTTATTAGAAATTGTTTCCGTAGACCCAATCCCACTGACCTTTTGAATACTGAACGTAAAATACAATAGACATATTAGAATAATTTTGCTCTACCACCATTGTCCATAATCATGCAAAACAATCAAAGTCATAACCCCAAGGTTAAACACTTTGATAAAAAATAATAATAATAATCTCCAGACGAAACTGTCAACTTTAATCAGTTAAGATAGATAAATCAGGATTGTTAAAATTTTGTTTACCATAAAGATCAATATAGGTTGAAATAAATTATATTACAATGAGGATTTATGACTGAAAGTTTAATAAGTGTCACAAAGTATGAAATATTGAGAAAATTAAGTAGAAATTTAGGTCATGAACTAGCTGAACTTCAAATTATACTATTCTTGTATGAGCTTCTAAAATGACATATGTATTTCTATATCTTTAATCGAAATATTTTACTCATTTAATTTTTCAAAAAGGAGTACATTTTTTTATTTTTAGGAGGTAATAAATGAAACATATTGGATAGTTACTGATAACATTCGAGACCCAACATATAGTATTCACCCACTAAATCAATGAAAAAAGTACCAGAAATGACCAAATACAACATACGATTTAAACATTGAGAGCGTTCCAGTTACCTTCAAATGACTTCCACCCCCAAAAAAACATATTACAAATAAATAATATATTTGTAATGTCCTAATGAGTAGAAAAACTAGATTTTTTTAGAAGAGATAACAAGATCATCACATCAGAAGAGGATAACCAAAAAGAACAAAAGAATGTAATTATCATCTTACAATTTAATAATTTTCCTATGAAGATTATTAGAAGTATATTAAAACTAGACGTTTCATTGCGCAATAATAATAATACTAATAATGAAATATCAAGGATTGGTACTACAGTTTTACCATACCATCATGGCACAACAAAAGAAATCCAAAGAATCTTAAAACAATACAGAATTAAAATATCTTACAAAACAACGAACACACTTCGAAATATCTTAGTTCGCTTAAAAAAAAGAGAAAATCCCATTTATGTCTACACAGAACTGAGTCTACAAATTAGGTTGAGTCACTTGTGATGCCTTCTATATTGGAGAGTCATCTCGAGAAATCTTGATTAGAGCCAAAGAACATATAAGGCACACAAAGAAACCACCCAATAATCCTGTAAAACTGCATAGACTTCAAATTAAAAGTAGCAGTTCATGCCATTTTCAACGACCACCAAAACGACGTTAAAAATATCAAAATATTACAAAAAGTTTTTTTCAATTACCAAAAAAGGAGAGTCAGTCAGTCAGTCAGCTACAACGTAGGACCAGGCACAAATATGCATCGGTCCAGGTTGCCATACCGCATCAGCACAGCAAGATGAACACCGGATTCATGGGAGTGGTTAGGTCAAAGGTGGTAATATATAGGAGAAAGATTGCATATAAGGATACAGTACCGAAATATAGAATTAGTTCGTAGAAAGAAAGATATGAAGCGATTTTAATCTCTTAGTTTAAGGGAAGACAGAGAGTGTATACACCGACGCCATTGTGATCGATTCTGAGCCATGTCACCAAGAGTCTCCAACCATCGGTTACGATAGTCACGCGGACCCCAACCAAGTAGTCTGCATCTACCAACATGGCTCAGACTAGAGGTTAGTGACTTCAAGCACTGATGCCACGTTTTGTTTTGGCCGCCCCTTACTTTTTTCCAACCATCTCCTACACCAATTAGCATTGCACGTCGTGGTAATCGGTGTTCAGGCATACGTAACACGTGGCCCAACCATCTCAGTCGATGAAAATTCACAACCTCATCAACTGATTTACCATCATTACCTAATACCCTGCGTCTAACCTCACTATTACTTACCCGGTGATCCCAGCAGACGCCAGCAATATTTCTAAGGCATATGTGGTCAAATACTAGGGGCTTACGGGTGTCTTCTACTCTTAAAGGTTATGTTTCACTGCCGTAAAGTAAAACAGAACGAACTGCCGCGCAGTATACTCGTCCTTTTATTGATAAACGGATATCTCGCCTTCGCCAAAGGTGACGTAAGTTGGCAAAAGCCAAACGAGCTTTTCGAATCCGTGCTGAGACTTCGTCCGATACCAACCCATTAGGGCTGATCAGAGAGTAGCTGAAGCGATCTATATAATACTTAGTCCTACTATTCTCAACAGAAAAGAAGGTCTTACCATACATCATAATTAGACTATCTATCCTAACCACCTATCCTTTCTCATCATAAAGGTCACACATTTTTCATCCTCAACAGTGCACACATTTATACACACAAATTTACATACATGTCGCTTATGAAACACCTTGACTAAAATGACATGACATTGATTTATTCAGACCTGCTTTTTATTGGTATTAGAAATATATGATTTTTACTTATAACAATCTACACAATTTAGTTGAAATGATCAAATCAAACCTTAATAATAATACTTATTATTATTATTATTAATGGCTTTATTCAATATTATATTTTGGTACAACATAGAATTCTCAGTACAGGGTATGTCAACAAGTTACTTACGCAAAAAGAACAGTAATAAGTACAAAAAAAGGAAAAAAAAGGTTTAAAAGAAAGTCCGAAAAACTGTACAACTTTGCAAATTAGAGACATGTTAAGAATGCAGGTTATGGACTAGGTTAACTCTAACAACCTGTTCATCACAGAGTATATTTGCTAGGTAAGGATATTATAGAACTTTTGTATTTTTGCTTGCGTACATGGATTTTAATGTAATTACGTCTCTTTCTACCAGAAGATACACAAGAAGAAAGATAAGAGTGAAAGGGATGGTTAGTATCTAATAAAATAACACCTGCCAGGAGTTTGCATGATTTTAGATGTCTATCTACAACCATATTAATTATCTTGCTAACTGCCTTCAGCACTCTCCGCAATATAGCAAAGTCTTTTCTCAAAAGCCCGGGAAAGAATAATGGAGAACAGTAAAGAATAATAAATAATATGCAAGAATTGACAAATTGTAAGAGTAAATGACAATTAATCCCAAGAGCATGCAATCTCTTACATATTATAATAAAATATAAAATTTCCAAAAATACACTTACTTCCCATTTTTTTAACTTGACCATTTTCATAATTTTTCTGTTCTATTTTATTTGATATTTCAGACATTATTAATTATAGACAATATTATATCTGGATACAAAATTGTATTTAATTAAAATAGTTCAATTCTTAATAATATATATGTATATGTATATACATAGAGAGAGTGTGTGTGTGTGTGTGAGTGATTGCATCATAATAATATAAATATATATTGCAAATATTCCTGTGATTTACACATTTTTTTTTAAAAATGACTCAAATGGATAATTGACTTGTTTAATGAAAGAAAAAAAAACAACTTTATTTTTCAGAAAATTATTGTGAGTAGATTTCATCTCATATGAGTTATATTCATTAAAACATTAGAGATTTGTATTCAATCATCATTTATGATTAATTAGAATTACATTAACATAATGTACAATTTAGTTGATAAGTGGATATATATATAACAAAATGAATGGATTCAAAACCAAAAAAAATTAATCAATGATTGCACTTCTACTAGAGATATTATACTTCACTGATTGGTTAAGATTATAGACCAATCAAATTTAAGATGTTCGTATATATTTATATATATTGATAATGTTAGGCAAGGTGCGTGCATATATATGAGTAAACAATTTGCGATAATTACTACTCCATGAATGGCATTATAAACTCAGTTAATACTTGGAATAGATTCATTCACCCAACAACAACAACAACAACAACAACAACAACAACAACAAAAAGGACTAAATTATGATTACTTTTTTAAAACTAGAAAATGAATATGATGTTTACTTATCCTTCTTTTATTTCCTTTCATTTCGAAATAATTTATTGAATTCTATTCTTGAGAGTATTCATTAAATAATTATGGGATTGTGTGAGATAGGAAAAGAAAACATTATTAACCATATGTTCCTTTTTTTTCTCATTTTGTATTGATTAATCTAAACTTATAACTAAATATATTAGAGAATCCCGAAAAACGGCTATATTTTATTCTTTTTATAAATTAGTCAGGTCATTATATGCATTACTGAATAAAATCTATTTATTTATTTTTTACTTGTTAAAAGTAATATACTATCTTATTTCATAATCATGTCAATATAGGGTCGTTACATAATTGATGTATACAAATATATGAAAAACTTGCTAACATCTGGTTGGATTACTTTATTCCCAAAAATAAAAAGGAAAATAGGAATGTATAGTTGAATTGAAAGCATGATGTATACGTGTTGCACCTTAGTATAATTAATCTAGAAAATAATTGAAGGGGAACTTTTTTTAGGAATAATTGGTTTGTTCTTTAAAAAAAAGTAATACCCCTTATGTGAGTTTACATTAAATAGACATAAGCCAACCACCAGAATTCTCCATCATAGAAAACTAAACTAAAAAACTAAACCCTTCCATTGGTTTACCAGTGGGAGTAATACACGCTGGAGCTTCCAACAATTACTCCCCCCCCTTATGAGATTAGTAACTCAGATTACTATTAAATGAATTATTACATTGACGAACCAAATAGTTATTGCAAGAATGGAGAGATTGAATCGAAAGGAATAGAACATCTAATGGAGGACACGTACAATGATCTATCAATTCTCGACCAAAATCTTAAAAATGTTATCGAGATTTAGTATTAACTCTTTGGTGAAAATGGTTTCATGAAAGGTAATAATTCACTGAGTGTTTTAAAAAATCTGAGATGACATCAACTATTCATTAATTGGAAACTCAATAAAGAAACATGAATAGTGAATTTTTGTTCACAAATGCCTACTTATGGTAATTCCTATCTAAGTAGTATTGAGTTTTTGAATCACTAGAATAACAGGATTGTTTTCATCAATTATAAAAAGTGCGATTAGTTGTCAGAAATATTAAGGGATAAACTATGTCTATATGAAAGTAAGTTTCATACTAGATAAGGACTCAATAGTGTCGTGACTTTATGAGCCGCTTGTTATCACGTAATCTATTTACCAATCAAAATACGACTTGTTCGCCCTTAAACTGTACTAAACCGATGACGTTCGACCGGTATGATCATCCCAGCGTCCTATTAGTCCGTCGCTCGCCTAGCCCGTCAAGCTGAGTCCAGAATGCCAATAACAGCCTCCACTAAGCGAATCATTTATTTCAGACATACTGGGTTTATATATCAAACAAACAGACCGCAACGCAACATAAAATAGGAAATAACATTCATACACAATGAAGCCAAAAAGTGGCTGTGGACGTGGGAAGCATTAGTCAATAAATTGAACATAGCTTAAGATCAGTAAATCGTACAATAATAATATATAGGTCAAAATAAAGCTTACAACAAGGGGAATATAGATATACATAATCTAGTTACTGAATATTTATACCATAAGAATATATAGATAATATTAATCCATTAATAAGTCTCAGACGTTACTCGTAATGTAATCTACACTAGGATATAACAAATAGCTCAGTGAACAACATGTTGGAAGTTTGGGGCGCAATCCAATGGGTTCGAGACCTAGTGTAACCATCAACACTGGAATCCAGATGCACCCAGCTAAAGAATCCTGAATAAAACAAAACACACACCCTGAGTTACAATGTTAGTCACAAACCTATCTGTCCTATAATTAATAGATAATTGTTTATTACATGATATATGTATTTCTACGACATACAATCTGACTAATCCAATACGACTGATGTTGGGTGGCTTGTGTGACATCCGTATTAGCATGCCTACAATCTGGTGATTAATAAGTCCTGCTACAAATAAATACCACACCAAAGTTCAGGACTTCCTCTCAACTGATCACCAAGGTTTAAATCTAGTCAACAGAAGCTTTAGTATCCTAATGATGAAATCGTCTTAATCTTGGAAGCTTTGTTGTCTCTTAAATCAAATGAGAACTACATAATCAAGTTTTATCACACTTTAGCGGTTTTATTTTGTTTACCCAATAGAGGTTTTGAGTCTATCCACCACATCCCTCTCTTTATATATATATACAACGCAAATTCAGTTATATTAGCTTATAATTCTACAATTTAGGTAGTCAGTCATGCATAACGCAGAACCTAGAAAACACTTACACCGATTCAAGCAACCATAACACGTTATTGTAGCGAGATAAAAATATCAGGACAAATCTCATAGAAATATAATTAGTAATGGTACCTGTGGTAGTAGAAAACATTAAATATAGACAATGTCATTCAACAACAAATGAATTCGTTTTATTAAAAAAAAGTTTAAAAATTCAAGGTTTAAAGGAAAACAAAGAGTGAATGCATCTGAGTTTTTGCGACCAAGTCTGAATTATGCCACTCGACGTCTCCAGCCGTTGGTAATGATAATCGTACAGATTACAAACAGGTACTCTACATCTGCCAATAAGGCTCAGTCTAATAGTCTTTGACTTCATGGAACAAAGTAACACATTGATTTAGTTATCCCTAGCTTCCTGGTAACTTATTCCTATCCAAGTCAACACCCCTCATCTAAAGAGATGGTAGTTTAGCACACTTAATGAATCTTACAATCACCACAGCCCACAAAGACTCACTACCTCATTTTTAACTAGTACCGTGTATCCAGCCTCAACATTACTCAATTTGTGTTTCCAACAGACACGAGCAATCTTTTGATGGCATCTATAATCAAATGCCAACAACCTACACCCATAAAGTAAAACAGAGCGAATTACTGCTCAGTATATTCATCTTTTGGTTGAAAGATGAATTAGTATCTAGTCAATGTTACAGGTGCCGCAAATTGGCAAAACCCAATCAGATTTTCTGAACTCATACTACAATTAATCTCTTAAAACGTTATTTAAACCAAAAAAAAAAATGAAATCAATAGAAAGCATCTTGGCAAATGGGCACAAAATATTTCAAAACGATTTGTTTCTATTAGCAGTAAGGAGCAATAATGAAAAAAGAAATTCGATCTAGTTTTAACGTCCTTCAAAAGCTCAAGACGAAACTTCTTCGATTCTAATCAAAACAAATATTAGACATTACTGTGTAGTACGGTTGTCCCTTAAAAAATATACAGATACCTATTGGTCACCATAAAAGCTTTAATACAGTAAATGCTAAATTGAAATTTTTCTCACTAGAATACTGTCAGTCATCAGACATAATTTCAGTACAAAGTGTACATTCTAATTGAGAATATTTGAACCTCTTCGATAATCTACGACTAATTGATACAACTGGACAATTTATTGTTATTAATGTAAAATACCGAATATTACTGATTAATTGAGATCACGAACCGATCTAAGTTAGATAACTACCGAAAACCTGAAAGCTAACTTGTTTTAACATGGGGATCCTCAGCAATGAGCACCCACAACCACGTAAACAGAAATCTAATTCAGGACGTTCGGATTCGCGAATGAACCCTAAGTCTCTTGATCACTGTGTTGGCATCCAATGTTTTACATGTATAACTTCAATCACTCCAAATTATTACGTAACTGGCTAAGCGTTCGTACATGAGACCTAAGGTTCTAGGTTTAGTTCCCGCCTACACTACCGTGGATTCTCACTACTGAGAAATTTCATACTGGGGTGAATCTGCCACCCAGTGCTTCTAGGTTTTCAATGGTTGTCAAACTTAAATAGGTCTGTGGTTTCAGTGAAATCCAATAATTTCTACAACCCATTGCTGCTTAAACTATAAGTTTTTTAATGTTAACTATGGTAAGAACAAGATAATGTTAATCGTCACATCATTTGACGATGAAGTTGCAATGGCGAACAAAAACTAAAATTATTCGATCTTGATTTCAGTTGGTTTATATATGACCTATAAAGATTATTACCATATAGTTGCTCACGTTTCAAATGTCTTTCAACTGTGTTGTGGTTTATATTTTCAGTAGTATGTTATATTCGGTCAAGAACAAAGGCAAGCAAATCCCTGAGATTCAAGAACGGAGGAACAAGTGAATAGAACTGTAGCGTCACATGCCATGCCAAGCTCACATAGCTTATTCTAACTTTCAGACAGATCAATTTATTCATTCTACTTTAGTTGCGTTTTGACCTTGTCATTTATTCGCTTATCAACCTTCACTGTTTTGTTTAAGCTTATGTATGTATATTTCTGATCTTACTCATCACATGTTTGACTATAAATATAGATTAACACTTAACTAAATCGAGTTGGCTCACATGCTTTCTCCACTGCTCGTCATTTTGTTCCATTTCTCCCTCTTCGCTTTCTTCACTTCTTTTCTCCGATCGCTTGTCTGGATCGATAATTGTATGAAATACACGTATTCGAAATTCATTCTCGTATTTGACTCCTCTATTTCCGTTATTCACTAACGCGATTTAAGTCGATGATTATTTACGAGGGTCGGCGACATTTATATTTCAGTCATAATCATTGATGCGATCCAAGTGGAGTCCG